AGATAGTCTCTTACAATCCACCACTTTTACTCACCTATTGGCACAGTTGTATCTGTACTTAAACTAGAGCTAGAAAGAAAGTCTCCAATAAGAGCTGGTCTTTCATACACCCAGGAAGGGAATGATGGGATAGGCTGGCCAGAATTTTTCTTGTTCTGCTTTTCTCGGAGTGCCTTTCGTACAAGTTCAAGAGGCTGCCAAAGAAAAATGAGACATGAGCATTCTGTAAGTGAAATGCCTACCAAACTAATATAAGAAGCCTTTTTGCCACACACAGAGATGAGACAAATTAGTTCTGTCACAGCAGAGTGACATTTTTTAGCAATTGATTTACTGCATGGTTAGGTGTTATCCATCTTTATGTGAGCAGACAAACATTTCTTAACCCTTACCCCACCCAACCAGCCAGTTAATTTCATTCAGTCTGTATTACCTTCACATTCCACAAGGAGCTCAAAAGTTGTAAATATAACTTTGTTTAGTCCACTCTAAGCATCCACAACCACAGTACAGGTCATCAGAAAATGACTAAAGTGCCAGGCTCGTTTAAAGTGCCAGGCTTGAGAATCATTCCTCAAGCCATTCAAGTCTGGCATGTAGTTTATTCAGGGCTTTAAAAATCAACATTAAGATATTGAACTGGGCTCAGAAATGACTTAATGGCCAAGACAGTTAACAGAGTACTAGATAAGTAAGCAACTTGTCAGAAACATTTCAGGGTTATTTTGAGTAACTAAAGTGGCCAAGGGATAGCCCATGCATAACATATTGCAGTATCCACCCAATAATTTAATTGAGTTATATAGAGTATAATTTCCCTGTGATTCCTTATAATTTTTGATAATAAATGCCACTCTCTACTCCTCAATAAATGTGGAATCGTAAAGAATACGCATGGCCCTTTGGATTGCATGGCTTACATACAGCAAATAAACAAAGGAAGAACCTCAGAGACCTGCTGTGAGCTGGAGCCGGTTGCCACAGTGCCCAGCTGTTTCCGTAACTCCTCCAGTTCTTGAGCAGTCATTTTGGAAGATGTTGAGGGGACAGAGAAAGTGAGGCTGCTGCTACCACTGTTACTGGCTGCTGCACTTGCTGCAAGTTCTCCCCTTTCCTTTGCATTCTGTTGCAAGTATTGCAATGTCTAAAAATGGGCCAAAAACAGAATTCAGAAATAATGAAGGCTTCAGTCTTTCACATGTACATGTACGATTTCCTGATTATTTGCTGAACTTACTATACCTCCAGCTACCAACATATCTAGGCATCTACTTGCGTTTCTGACAATTCCCTGAAACCTATTATGGAATTTGGGTATGTATGGCAACGTGAGTTTGTTCTCTTACCCAGATGTTCTTGATTCTAGCTTTATGGCGAGTGCTGATTAATAACTTCACTCAGCTTCTGAGGCATCCTTGAATAAGATGTTTACTTAGAATGGCATTTATTCCCTTTGTGCAGAAGATCCCCTATATCCGGGATGGCGAACCTATAGCACGTGTGCCACAGATGGCATGCAGCACCCTCTCTGTGGGCACACAAGTTGTTGCCCCAGTTCAGCTCCATCACGCATGCGCGCATGCCTCCCACCGGGTCAGCTGGTCATTGGGTCTCTGCCACACATGCACAGGGTGCATGTGGGGGAAATGCGCATGCGCGGGGTTTGGGATGTGTGCGGGGGGCCGTGCATGCATGTGCGGGACACATGCATGGGGCCAGCATGTGCATTGCATTTTGGGAGTTTGGGCACACGCGTGCGCATTCGTGTGTGCGCGCTTTGGGCACTTGGTCTGGAAAAGGTTAGCCATCACTGCCCTATATCATTTAAAGGGGTTTCAGTGATAGGGAAGCAAATTTTGGTCAGACATCAGAAAAAAAATCCTAATGGTAAGAACTGTTCAACAATGGGACAAACTCACTGTCGATATGGTAGATTCTCCTCTAGAGATGTGTAAATAAAGACTTGTTCACTGTCACTCAGCTATGCTCTACAATTGGATAGCTGACTGGGGTCCTACTACATCAGGGGTTTCCAAACTCTTCAGCTCACTGGCTCCATGACTTCATGTTTCAGATTCTTCATGCACACCCCAAACATTTATTGCATGAAAATAATTTTATAAATACTTTAACTAATAGTACTACAAAAAATAGTAACAACTATAATGGATAGTTCTATTGACCCTTGATTCTAACCACTTTGGGGAACCCTGGACTCAGAGAGATAATTTCCAAAATCCCTTTCATCCCCTGTATTCTGTGATCATCTCCAATTGAAAAGACCTCTGTATTACATTTAGAAATTATTCTGTACATGGGACTTGGAAAATTAATGTTACTTAACCCAGACTTTTATTTTGCTTTGCTGTATTCCTCAACTCAACACTGTTAGTTTGAGAATGCAAGAGATTTCCCTATTTCCTTGTTTTGTACCCCTTTCTGGATCCCACTACACAACTATGGTTGGTCTTGACTCCTTTAATGCTTGGTCTCCTATTTTTACCAACACAACTACCAGTAACTAAGAATTAAAATTGTTTTTATATGGGCTTTCTAAAGTAAACCTTCTACCTCTTTGTCTTCTATAAGCTTGGACAGCAAATACACAAGTGAGTCAAGATGTCTTGTGTTCTTCGATTTTAGTTCATCATATTTGTTTAAGAAATCTTCCGGAGTCCGTGAAAACTCTGCAATTTTAACCTAGGAAATACATGTTATTGTTATTATTTACTTTTAAAATTTTAATTAATTTATATAGTCGCCCAATTTGAGCAATGCGACTTTGGGTGGTGTACAAAAGCAATCAAAATTTTAAAAAAATCAATAACATTGTTCTTATGTATCACAAGAGGAAAAAAACTACACAAATATATATCTGTAAACTTCCAGAGTGCTTTTCTACTTAACAAAGCCTTTCCAATTCTGCATGAAGCAGAATTGCTGGGCAGCTAAACTGTGATCCTGTGGCGGCAGGGGAAAAAGCTACTATAGATTTTCCCTCTCTGACTGTATTATATATTCATACCCACCAGGTAAGCAACTTTATGAAAAGAAAACGAATGAGATAGTCAAAAAGTTAAAGACCCAAGATAAAGAAACCAACATCACTTACCACATCTCCCCATGTTTCTTCTATCTTGGTGAAAACATCCTTGCTATCATCATCTCTGTAAATTATTTTGATTCCTACCCTGAGCAGGGGATTGAACTTAATGGGTTGAATGACACCGCATAACTCTACAAATTTACCTGGCTCACTCTGGGATAAAATGTGGTCAGGAAGGCCAGCAAATATGAACACAACTTCATATTTTGAAGACCAGGAGCTCTTTTAGGCCAGGTATGAACAAATAAAACTGATAAACCTGGAGGTGGCTGCTAGATTGATGGCAGACTCCATCTCTACTCCCTCTTGCTCTCTGTTCTCCACCCACCCATCTTTTTGGTTATCATATTAATGTATTTATCTTTGGGTGTTCCTTTGTAATTGTTTATTTTATTGTTCTATTATTATTCTACTTCTGTTTACACTCCCTTTTTCTTCCTTCTTATTGTAAGCCATCCAGAGTAGCCCCCACGGCGAAGAGGCGGCAAATACATTTAACAATTGAGCCTTGATAGTACAGGGGTTTAGTGCACCCTGTAATTAACACAGCTGCCTGCAATTTCTGCTGGTTCGAATCTCGCCAAGGCTCAAGGTTGACTCAGCCTTCCATCCTTTCTAAGGTAGGTGAAATGAGGACCCAGTTTGTGGGGGCAATAAGCTGACTTTGTATAAAACATACAAAAGAATGAAGGCTATTGCTTAACGCATTGTAAGCCGCCCTGAGTCTCCAGAGAAGGGCGGCATATAAATCAAATTAAAACAAACAAACAAACAAACAAACAAATAAATAATGACTAAACAAATAAGTTTATTTCCCCCCCTACTTAGCTCGGCCATCCTGGAAGCAGGGTGACTGGAAGCAGGGTGGGAGAGGAACCCCTTATTGGGACCCAGTAAGGGCTTTATGGCTATCTTCATTTCATCAGATCTTATGCGGGGCCAGTCAACCCTTTTAAAATTGATTGCAAAACCAGTTGCACCCTTAAATATTATGATTGTGGAGGAATAGCTGGGTGGACCTTCGCAGCCATCAGTGATCACTATGCAGCGTTTACTTCAAAATATCTCATTCCCTCCTATACAAAAATAGGTTTTTTTTCCTTTCCTTGAACAAGGATATAGAGATAAAATAGATAAGAGAATAGATGGGAGAAAACAATTAGAAAAATAGATACCCAGATTACCTCACGTAAAAGGAGAAAGGGGAGGGGGGGTGTAAAAGGGAAAAAAAGTGAGCTATTATAAAAATGTACGCAAATGATGAAATAAAAATAAATAATAATTGAATAAGAAATTGAAATGAGAATAAAGATAATTAGAAAATCGGGGCTGCTCAAATACCACTTTAGAGTGAACTGAAAAGGGAAACAACAGGAGAGAGGGGAAGGAGTAGAGAGAGAGGAAGGGAGAAGAAGAGAAAGAAGAAAGGGAAAAGGAGAGGAAGAAAAGGGAGGGGAAAGAGGAGCAGAGGAGAAGGTTAGAAGGTGGGGAAGAAGAGAGGAGTGGGGGAAGAGAAGGGGAAGTAGGGAAGAGAAGGATCCCCGGTTTCTCCCGGCCGGTCCACCTTGGCTCCGAGGGCTGAGGCGGTGGTGGTGAGGTAAGGGGCGCGGTTCTTCTGGAGCAAGTCGATGTAGACCTCCGCCCCTTCCCCGCCGCCCCGCACTCGCAGCAGGCTCAGGAGCTCGTTCACGTCGTGATGAATCCGAAACTCGCTCATAATGACGGGAAAAGATCCTTCAGGGCTTCCCAAGGGGGGGCGGTCAAGCCACAACAACCCTGCGAGGCAGGGCCATGCCGTTAGGAATTAAGGCGCCACAAAAGCTCCACCTTTTATAGCCCCGCCCCTCCCGTCTCCCAGCAACCATCCTCCGCACGACCCGGAAGCGGAAGAAGCGCGGGTGTGCTAGGTTTCAAGGGAGAGAGAAGCTGCGAGGGGAAAGAAAGAATGGCCGGCGGTGGGGAGGGAGGTCCTTTCCGTTTCCGCCCCGCCGTGGTCCGCTACGCGGCGGACGATCCCTTCTTCGAGGTAGGGAGCCTCCTTGCTTCTGCCTTCCTTCCGAGCTGGGGTCGGCCTTGCCTGGGATGCGGGCGGCCGCTTTTCTTCCCTGCGCCTGAAGCGATGGCTGTAAATCAGGGGTCTCCAATCTTGGCCACTTTAAGACTTGTGGACTTCAACTCCCAGAATTCCTCAGTTGAAGTCCACAAGTCTTAAAGTGGCCAAGATTGGAGAGCCCTGCTGTAAATTCTGTTCTCTTCCTCTACAGGACGGCGACGTCCACCGGCATATGTACCTCCAAGGTCTCCTGGAGAACGTCACGAGGGACACGGAAAGGCCCAGGTGAAGATTGGGAGAGGTGCCTCCTCCTTTCCTGTGAGCGCACAGGTGACCGGGGGTTTAACAGTAACAGAGTTGGAAGGGACCTTGGAGGTCATCTAGTCCAACCCCCTGCTCACGCAGGAGATCTGTACCAGGGATTCGAACTGCCAATCTTTGGTAGACAAGATCAGTGTTTGTGTGTGTGTGTGGGGGGGGGGGGGGGGGGGGGGGCGTTTCCCCCCCCCCCCCTCCCCCCCCAGGGTCCCGAAAAAAAGGCCCCTCCCCCCCCCCCCAAAAGGCAGGATGTTTTTAATCTTGTTAAGATGAGACTGGACAGCCATTTGTCTGGGATGTTGTAGGGCAGAGGTGTCCGACCTTTGGGACTTGTGAACTTCAATTCTCAGAATTCACCAGCCAGCAGGGAATTCTGGGAGTTGTAGGCCACAAGTCTTGAAGTTCCAAGGTTAAACACCCCTAATATGGGGTCTCCTGCTTGAACAGGGGGGTTGGACTAGAAAACTTCCGAGGTCTCTTCCAACTCTGTGATTCTTTTATTTCCTTCCCTCCCTCCTGCCCTCCTGTCCTGCCCCAGCTTTAGCAGAAGCAAGAAACAGACTCCTTGTCACCAACACCTCCTTTTTATTTACCTCCTGTGAATTAATTGCATTCACTCACGGAAAAGTCCAGGCAGTAGTCCTTCAAAAAAGAAAAAAATCTATTCTATTCAAGGAGTTAACGGCAGTAACAGACCTTATCACTTCCTTGTGATAATTGCAAGGTTGTGAGCTCCCAGCTGAAAGGCTGCAAATTAAGTTCTGGTAAGCAGTCTTTGTCGCACAAAACACAATAAGCAAAATGTTCAGAAATACAAACACTTGTCTTCTACAACAACCACTCTCCTTTCCTTCTATTTATTCCCCAGCCAGGGAGGGCCCATGCAACATCCACATGTGCTTTGCTTCCCGAGTCAACTCCTTGTCCTCTGTTGTTCATCTCTCCTAACTGCTCTGCACATACGTGCATCTGTAACAGGCCCCAGCTGTTCTTCCTTCTCACTCATATCAGCCTCCAAAGGCAGCTGTCTCTTTGGTGGTTGGGAAATGTCGAACGGCCCCGGCTGTATCTCTGTGTTCGACGCAGACTCCATAACTGGCCCAAGTTCCTCCCCAACCTCCTCATCGTCCGAGTCTGCTGGCAGTTCTGCTGGCAGTTGGCGGGCCACAACACCTCCCTCTCTCCTTCCCTGCAAGGATGCTCATTCGCTGTTGCTTGTTGATTATAAAATCTTCAGCAGAAACAAGCTTGTTCATAAGGAAGAGTTACATTAAAAGCCTCACCCCCCCCTTCCCTTTTAGTGTATAGCCACAATGATGGGGATACTCTATTGACATTGTTCTTTTAAGAATAACAAGCCTCCCAAAGCTTCAATCACTGTAAAGACTGTAAATAAAAATGCACTAAATAAATAAACCCAACACTTCTTAAAATGTCACAATTTGATAAAGGCTGTAGCAATTCTCAGTCTTCCAGGTCATGGTTATACCACTTCATCCAAGAAGTTTCTTCGGCTCTGACTAGACCTCCTTCCATTCCCTACCAGAAGCTAAACGTCTTCAAAGAAAAAATAAGAAACTCCAGTTGCCTCCTGAAAAAGCATTTTTTGGGAATAATTTGATAAAGATTTGTTTTCTATGTTTCCTTTCAGAACCTCTGAATTTTCTTGCCAAATTGGTGGATGCAGCCAGGTTTTCAACACCTTGGAGAGCTATGAGCATCATTACAACATGCTGCACAGGAATGTGTGTTCTTCTTGCAAAAGAGCCTTCCCTTCAACACATTTGTTAGATGTTCACATTTTGGAGTGGCATGATTCCCTCTTCCAGATAATGGCAGAGAAGCAGAATATGGTAAATGGCCATGAGACCTATAGATTGGCTGCTATTCAGAGATTCAGTACAGCACAAATCTAGTTATATTAACAACTGCAATATTTTTGTAATCAAGAATGTTACCATCATAATCACCATTTTTTTGGTTATAAAAAATCAAGAACATAAGCAATGCTTACTTGTAGTTCATTTTTCTCTTGGGTATTGAAAACAGTAAAACTGCCTTATGCTTAATTCACTTCATGGGTTCATCAACTATTGTTAGCTCTGACAGCTGCTGATACTAAGACCATCCTAAAACTTGTTACTTGAGTTGGGAAGATTGAATTTATGTTCTGCCAATACAGTCTTAACAGTGGACTAGTAACTTCAAGAGTATAACACACAATACTGATCAACCTTCTTATTGGTTTTTCTGCCTCTTTGCAGTACCAGTGTTTGGTAGAGAGCTGTCCAGAGAAATTCAAGAGCAGCAAAGACCGCAAGGATCATTTAATCACAGTTCATCAGTATCCATCTGATTTTCGCTTTGATAAATCTCTGAAAGCACAAAGGTAAATGATTACACGGAATGTACATTTGATATGTTCCTCACTGCTCATTAGAAATGTTTTGATCTATGACTGACAGAAAATCTAAAATTCAGAAGATCAATTCCTAGTTATGAATACTGTTGATATGATCATTCTGTATTTTTCTTTCGACTTGATTAATTAAATTAATCTAAGAGAGAGTGACTGACCCAGAGAGAGTGACTCAATAGTGAGATGAATGGCATATAAATATAATAAAAATAAATAAGTGAGGAATGAAAGTAAATATTCATGTCCCAGGATAATGTTGCAGGATCCAGTTTGGGTCGGTCACTGGGACCAGAGGTTTAGTCTTCCAAGCTTTCGGATTTGTGCTGGAGCCCATCGTCAGGGAACTTCTTTCTCACCAGAATGTGAGAGACTGTGACTGCTTAGGGACATGGTGGCTCAGTGGCTAAGACACTCAGCTTGTTGATCGAAAGGTTGGCAGTTCAGCAGTTCAAATCCCTAGTGCTGCGTAACGGGGTGAGCTCCTGTTACTTGTCCCAGCTTCTGCCAACCTAGAAGTTCGAAAGCAAGTAAAAAATGCAAGTAGAAAAATAGGGAACCACCTTTGATGGGAAGGTAACAGCATTCCGTGTGCCTTTGGCATTTAGTCATGCCAGCCACATGACCACGGAGACGTCTTCAGACAGCACCGCCCCCTAGAGTCGGGAACGACTAGCACATATATGTGAGGGGAAACTTTACCTTTATATGACTGCTTAAAGGGAAAAAAAAGAGCATAAATTGAGGACTGGCATGGATGTTAAAGTCTTTCTACAATGTTCTTGCCATCTATTTTTCAGTATGTTGATTTTGAGCTAAATTTCTGCAATAGGAAAGAGAAAATGAGGCCTTCATCAAAAGAAAGCAATGTGCCAATAGATATGACTGTGGAAGACTCAGAACAATCACATGTTGAGGCCATGGAAATAGGTCCAGATGAGAGTATAATGGAAAGTGACTTTCAGGCTGAGACAGAGTGTACTGTGGACTCTCCAGCATTTGGAAAACAGCTCTATAGATCAAGGTTGGTGGCTTTGCTTTTTTCAGATGGCTTGGAATCACCTTTTGGTATGAACATCCACCTGACTTTGCACCGAAACATCTATCTCTTCAAGAATTAGAATAATTTTGGCCACTGGAGACAACATAGTATTTATTGGAATTTTTTTTTTTTTGGCCTAATGTATATTTTTCAGCAAACTGATGTCAGATTTCTGGAATTCCTATCCAATCTCATCTCATCATTGGAAATTAAGCAAAAATCTGATAACCAGTCAATCTGGATTTAATTGGTATAATTTAATAATTTGAGAACTTCTCAATGTCAGAAATGTTTAAGAGAAGTTAAATATGCTCAGATCAGAAATAGTTAAAGGAAAGAATTCTGTCTTTTAGCTAATTGGTGACTAAACCGGGGTGGGGGGAAAATCTGGCAAGACTCATGTAGGATCTGAAGCATTTTCCCCCCTCTTTAGATCTGCATACTGCAGAACTAGTATTGTCTTTGGACTATAGAATTGTTAGAAATATAAGAAACTTTAGCACATGGGGTCCCCAACCCCCGGGCCATGACCCATTACCAGGTCTTGAACCTTTTTTGAACCAGGCCGTGGAAATGGTGGGCACATACACGCTCAAGCAGCAGGTGACCAGGCGTGCACATGCTTCGTTTGTGCAAATGGCAGATGCGCGTGCCCACCGTTTTCACAAATGGAGCTGTTCGTGTGCAGGACCATCCCCTCTCTCCCTGCCCCTGCTGCTCCGTAAAGCTGAAAAAAATTGGAGAACTCTGCTTTAGGAGGACTTGTTAGCTTGTATTCAGTTGTGTATTGTATTACTATAACTAAGCCAGGTTGCACTCTTTGCATTTTGTCTTTCAGAATTCCACCCACTATTTGTTTTGGGCAAGGGGCTACCCGTGTCTTCAAAGACAGAAAAAAGAAAAGTTGAATATGACAGCCAGGAGGAATTTCATCAGCAGAAAAGTGCCTTAAAACTAGAGCAAAGCTCCGGCTTCATTTACTAGGAAGTCAGGGAAACGAACAGAGGCAAAGCTAGTTAAATATTGGAACTGATTCCCGTCCTTCCCAAATGGAGGTATTTTAGTAGGAGCTGCAAAATGCTTCTGACCTGGTTGTTGTAGTCCAACTCCATTTAAAGTGTCAGAAATAAAGGTAAAGGTTTCCCCTGTCCAGTCGTATCTGACTTTGGGAGTGTGTGCTCATCTCCGTTTCCTAGCTGAGGGGAGCCAGTGTTGTCCAAAGATGCTTCTGTGGTCATGCTTCACTTTGGTGCATGGAACTTTGTTACCTTCCCACCAAAGTGGTACCTATTTATCTTCTCGCATGTGCATGCTTTCGAACAGCTAGGTTGGCAGGAACTGGGGGAAGAATAACCACTAGGCCACTATCTCCCCTAATTATAGCTGGGGTTATCCAGGTTTTTTTTTTGAGATTTCCATATGGTGGAAGATTTTATAGAGTTGAAACAAAGGAGGAGGCGATGGAGAAATTAAGGGAGCTTGGAATCATCAATAAAGAAGAGTTCGTGGAGCAAATCCAGAAAATGAATGAGATGTCAGCATTCTCAAGAAGGGAGATGGAGAAGAAGAAAGATCTACGGGAGAAAGGGAGGCTGGATGAAGCAACAGGAGTTACAAGTTTGCTGTAGAGACAGTATAAAAATATTTGCAATAGTTATATTAAGGGATATGTGTTACAACATAGGTTTGGGTGTTGAAATAGGGTAAAGGTAGTTAAGGGAGGTGGAGTGGGCAACCGAAGGCCATGTATGAATGGCTCCTCTTCTCTCCCCCAGAGGCCTTATGTGGTGGAGAGGAGGAAGATCTGAAGAAGGGAAAGGGGATATTATATATGTTTATGGGTGGGTAAATGTTGATGGGTGGGTAAGAGGTTATTTACATTTTGGGGTAATATGTATACTGTGTAGTTTTAGTTTTGTAGGATTTATGTTAGAGCACCTATGGAGACCAAAGGGAATATGTCATATGAGGGATAGATGGGGAAATCGTTGAATATAAATGAGCAAGAATTGAAAAATCAATTAACAAAGAGAAAATATATATTGTATTTTTACAAGAAACACATCAAAAGAAAGAAGGGGTGAATGAACTTAAGTTATACTGGGCTGATGTATATGAAAAGGCATTTGGTACATCAAAATGAGGACCCAGATTATGGGGGCAATAAACTGACTTTTATAAATATATGAAAGTATGAAGATTATTGCTTAATGCATTGTAAGCCGCCCTGAGTCTCTGGAGAAGGGCGGCATATAAATCAAATTAAAAAAAAAAGAAAAAGCAAGAGGGGTAGCAATAATTGTAGCTAAAAGATGTGAATTTATGATAAAAGCCATAAAAAGGCTTCCTTAGTTGGTTGAGCCTCTGCCCCATGATGTAGTTTTCAAAGGCAGCTCCATAGTGTATGAGTTGCAATAATCAAATAAAAATGATCTGGGCATGAGCAACTGTGAGTGCGTCTTTTGATCTACTCTAGTTGTAGCAGCTAGACAGAATTATGCAAAATAGACTCTTAAGAACACCTCCAGATTACAAGCTAGTTTTATCTGGGGAACTGCATCTTGAATTAAACACATCTTAGCTGCCAAACCTACTTCTACTCTATCTTGGTGGTATTGAGTCTGCTTCTCCCCATCCAGACCTTTAAAGCCTCCACCAAGAATAGTGCCTCAACCATATTTATGTGTAACCCTGGGTTGAATGTTCTTCCATGGGAAGTGTATTTGGCTCCAACTCTGGCTGCTTCATGGAAGCAGCTGAAAATGGAGCTCTTCCAGAGGGCATCAGAGGTGTGAAATTTTGTATTTTTCATTGTAAGTTTTTGTACTTTTGATTTGTATTGTTACTTACTTGCCTTGAGCTGCAAGAGTTGGCTGATGACTGTGACTTGTTTGATTTTGAAAAACAGAATTGGCATATCAGCAGGACAGTAATGGTAAGGATGAAGTGGGGTCTGTGGTTTATGCTTGTTACAAAAAAAGAAAATTTATGGGAAGAGATTAAAATAACAAAGAGGAAACCAGTGAACAAAGAATAAAAAAAAACCATAAAAATTATTTCTTCCCTGTAGCCTGGCCTCATTCTCTCTTCTTCCCCTTTCCTATATACACGGGTTAGAATGTTTATTACAAAAAGATCACAGTTTGGGGTAAATGTTTTCATTGGCTCATTTGCCCCCGTTTGAACCAGAAATTAAGGATTTTTTAAAATCACATTCTGCAACACTGAACTGCACATACCAATTTATTAGAATGAGATGAGATTTTGAGCTGTTTGTAACCATTTGATTTTTGCTACCTTGAATTCTGGACATCTGTCAAACGGCCCCATTTGAAACTCTAAAATTAGGAGGAAGTTCACCAATTGTACTACAGATTATTGCAGAGGATCTATTATTTAAATATTTGTGTTAGGAGAACTGCTCACTCTATTGTTTTTGACAATTTAGTATTGGCCAGTCAGAAGTAGGAAGTTCCCTTATCTCTTGACCACTAAATTTACTCAAGCCTTTTATGGGAATGGATTTTTGTCTGAAGACAACTGAATATCAAAAGATGTGTCTGCTAGATTATGTTATCTTCACACTTGTTGACATACTCAAAGTCCAGATATATTGTGATTTTAAAAGGTTTGTATCTCTTAATTTTTTGTCTTAGGAATAGAGAAAGCAACAAAGAAAGAAGGCTGCTCTTTATGATCATTTGTTTCAACTCGGAGGCAGGCATGAACAATTTTAGGTGCCTAGAGATAATTCCAAATTCCCACTATTCTAAAATGCAAGAAAAGTAGAATATTTAATATGGTCTAAAATATGCTTGATTTGCCATACACGAAATAAAATAATAAATAAATAAATACTTGATTAAATTTGTTAAAAGTATTTCTGTAAATATTTTTGCTTGGCAATGGAGTGATAAACATGGAACTACATACCTGAAAAGCATAGGTTGGAAAGTGTGAACTTATTAAGATTCTTTTACTGGCATGCGGGGACCCTGTTTGGATAGGGCCTTGTAAACCATACAGCACTATGGTGGAAGCACCATATGTTTCCCAATATGATTTTCGTAGTTTTTGTTTTATGTAATAACTATAGAGAAGCAACTGGCAGCTGTCATTGAAGAGATAACCGACCCTCGGTGGGCAATCCATTCCGACCCTCTGGAATGGATTGCCCACCGAGCTCAGGACAGCCCCCGACCTTCTTTCCTTCCGTCGCAAGCTGAAGACGTGGCTCTTTCGTCAACTCAACTGACCTGTTTGGGGGTACACTGTTATAATTTTAAACTGTTTTTAATAGGGTCGCTGATTTTAATTTTATTTCATTGTGATTTGTATTGGAATTTGTCATTTTGTAAGCCGCCTTGAGTCCCCAGGGAGAAAGGCGGCATATAAATCGCAATAATAATAATAATAATAAAAATAAAATAAAAGAGATGTTGCTTGAGCTTTTTGAGTTCTTCTGTCATGATAAGTAGGAATAGGCAGTCCATGGATTGTAGGTGATGCAGCACCATGAGGTTGTGCTGCTGCATTTGGGCAACTTTGTTATGCAATAGCAATAGCACTTAGACTTACATACTGCTTCACAGTGCTTTCAGTCCTCTCTAAACGGTTTACAAGGTCAGCATATTGCCCCCAACAATCTGGGTCCTCATTTTACCCACCTTGAAGGATGGAAGACTGAGTCAACCTTGAGATGGTGAGAATCGAACTGCTGGCAACAGAAATAGCCTGCAGTACTGCATTCTAACCACTGCGCCACCACGGCTCATGCCCACCTTTAATTCACCTCTAGACCCCAAAATAGGTTTAAAATGTCCATCGTTGATTCACAGTTTTGGTGACATCCAGAGTACACCATCAAATAGCTTTCAAAGAGTTGGCAGTCTATGTTGTGGCGTTCTTACTTTCAAGTGTTGCCTTCTCCTTCAAAAGCACCGGAATCTTTAACTGAGCTAATTAAAATGCCCCTCATGGGGAGCCTCGTATTCTAGTACTCCAGTGAGGAAGTTACAAGGACATATCGTGACTAGATAAGGCCTCAGCAGATTTGTGAACCACATGGAGCTAAGAAGAAAGCATTTCCTATTGAAGAAATCCTTTATCCTGTAGTGAGAGTGTTCTACCTAAAGTGGATTCTGTCTAAAATAGGTTGAGGTTGAGCATCATTACCTGAGGTGTTCATGGTTAAAAAAACGCTACAGATCAATGTGATTTGATGTGTGCTCCTGTACATATTACTTAACATTAAGACAATTGTTTCTAAGATGAGCATCGGGAGCCTAGAATCTTTAAATGTAAAGATTTTAAGTCATTTTACGATCACATTTTGTGTTTTATTCCTTCACGTAAGCCACCAATAACTTTGAGAAATAAGCTAAAATATAACAGAGTAAAACATGTACTTTTGGTAACATCACAAATTATATTTCAATCCCTTTTTTCTTTCCTATGTTGAGGAGGAGGATAAAGGGCCTGGTGGCTCAGCAGACTAAAAGCATTGTGATTAACACCAGCTGTCTGCAATTACTGTAAGTTCGAATCTCACCAGGCTCAAGGTTGACTCAGCCTTCCATCCATTCTAAGGTAAGTTAAATGAGGACCCAGTTTGTGGGGGCAATAAGCTGACTTTGTATAAATATACAAAAGTATGAAGGCTATTGCTTAACGCATTGTAAGCTGCCCTGAGTCTCCGGAGAAGGGCGGCATATAAATCAATTTTTTTAAAAAAATAATTCCCTATAGGTGCATCAGTGCGAACAGCTTTTTCTTCTGCCTTAGGGTGAAATGGTTGATGGGGTGCCCATCTTCAAGAAGACTCAGATTCAAGGCAATGAAGTATCTGGGAGTTACAAGCATCTGCACACAATAAAATCACTTGTAAGGCGGCTTACAAGTGAACCAAGAGAGAGAGAAAAAAAACATGCCTAGAGCGAATTAACAGGCCTGGAGAAAAGAGAAATAAGGCAAAAGGCAAAAAGAGCAGCAGGTTTTTTTTCCTATTCCCTGTTGTTTTGTAGAAGACATAGTGCTTTGCCCATAAATAATGCAATTTCTAAATACCCTGAAGGTACCAAAAAGACAGGCTGTTATCTTTATACACTGACAAAGTAGCCTAATGCATCTCTGATAGAAGTTATTGCTC